TTTGCAGCTGAGAGTTTGTGTGTAAGAAGTTATAGATTCCATGTAAACCTTGTAATTATTATGACAAGTGGGTGATTTTGATCTGTTGCCGTATGTGAAATTGCTTCCTCTGTTTTTATGCAGTGAAAGCAAATCTTAAGCTGTGGCAGGCTGAGGATGCTTGCTGAGCAACTCATGTATCGTAACCTCACTTTAACTAACACTTGTCATCAATTACCATTTAACTAGCTTGCTGTGCGCATATGCACACCCTTACACACACACACACACACAAACACACACACACGCACACACACACACACACACACACACACACACACACACACACATACAACCTGGGCTCAGTGGCGGGGCCACCACAGTTACAGGATTTGGTGCTGAGGTGATTTTATTGGTGGAAGTTGGTGTTATTAGCAGGATACCTGAGTGGTACCAGGAACACTGTCCTCCTACGAAATTCCTGAGTGTTTATTAAAAAATAAAAATCTACAGCACAGGTATCATTAAACACATAAACATACACACAGGAAATAAATATTTGATCCCAGCCAAAACACAAAGCAACAACACTGAGCACACTGCTCGATATGTTCAATTGTTTACATCCTTTAAAAATTGTTTTATATTTTATTTGAAAATCTGACTGTTTCTGTTTTCGGTGAGTAAACTGTTTTCTGTAACTCTTTTACTTTGCAACTTTAAGCTCAATGGATAAAATGTTATTTTCTATAAATATTTAAACAAACTTACTTGTACTTACCTTTACAAAGCTTGTAGTTTTATTGTTAATTAATCTGTCGAATGTTTTAACAATTATTCTTAAACTTTTTTGTCATTTAAAAGCCATAAAATAGACTAAATGTTCGTCATACGTTTCCAGAGCCTAGAATGACTTCTATTTTCAAGTCACTTTTTGTGTTTGACTAAAAATTCACAATGCAACGTGTAAACTTTATTTTTGATATAAAACAGAAAAAAAACAGCAAATTGTCACACTGTTACACAAGAATCAGTAATTTAAAAAATAAATAATTTAGTCAACATTTTGTTGACAAGAGTTTGACTGAGTGATCAATCAAAAGACGTGCTAACTTTCTAACAAAGCACCATTTATATAGAGTGAGCTGCTGCTTTATGATAATAGTTAAGAAATCAATAAACGATTGTAAACCATTCATCTAGAACACGTTTGAGATGTCAGGCCAAGAGGATTTTCTTAATCAGGTTCCTTATTTATCACCTACAACTAACCTATAAAGCATTAGTAAACAATTTGTTCATATTTTATAACTCCATTGATTCTCTAGTCATATTTAATAACTAATTACAGCTTTATAAATGATACCTAATTGAAAAACTGCATTCACTGATTTTTTTTGTATATGTTTTTGTGTAAAAGTGAAATTCTGCTTTGTAATCGAGCCACACAATTTGTGGTAATAGTCCATCCATTTATTATCTACACACCGTATTATCCTCTATAGGGTCACGGGGGTTTGGGGCCTATTCCAGCTGACTTAGGGCGACAACAGGGGACACCCTGGACAGGTCACCAGTCCATCACAGGGCCACACAGACAACCAAGCACACTCACATTCACACGTACAGACAATTTAGAATCACCAATTAACCTCAACATGTTAGTGGACAGTGGGAGGAAGACGGATACTTTTATTAATAGTCACTTACAAAATCTTAAAGATAAATATTATTTAGAATAAACAGTCGTTTCACATGAGGTGTTAAAATCATTTCTTGCACAGCTCTCAGCCTGTTAGTGCATTACAAAAGGTCCCTGTTTTCAGCAAAAAATGTATAATATATATGACATTAATAATGTCTGCACCGTGCAGTCAGTGATCACGCTCATATTTCCCAGCAGGAAAATGTGCTTTTTTTATCCCCCCGTGTAATTGTTTTTTAACTGATTAATCACTGATGGTAAAATCTGATCCCCTCTCACTTGTCAGTCTCCCCCTTCCTCCTGATAGCCCTGGTGTTATTCACCCTTTGGCACCAGCACCGCTTGTTTCCCCATTGTTCGGGCTGTGCTACTGCTAATTGATTAGTTTTCCACTGCATTAGTTCAACAAGTTTTTGTCCATCTGCAAACTGTCTTCTGTTCAAACAGCTGTTCACTTCCATTGAATTTCTAAAGCACTGTGGCTTTTCAGGACATATGGTGGGACTTCATTTAAAGAGCCAGCAAGGACTGTATTATTTTATTTCTTTTGTGTCTGTGTGTGTGTGTGTGTGTGTGAGAGAGAGAGAGAGCGAGAGAGAGAGAGCAAGAGGGAGAGGGTGTGTGTGCGTGTGTGTGTGTGTGTGTGTGTGTGTGTGTGTCTGTGTGTGTGTGTGTGTGTGTAAGTGTGTGTAAAAGACATTGTGGCTTGAACCCAGTGGTCTTGCGGAGAAGACATTCCACTATGACCAGACAGAACACAGCTTTGATTTTCTTTATTTCTGTTTCTGTTTTAAAACACATACTGTAGTTGTTTATAGATTCTGTATTGATCTGTGCATACTATTTCAGCTATGTTCAGCACTAACATTGTTCTTTAGGCTGTAATGTACCTTTCACTTTTTACATCGTTACAACTGAGTGAAAAAAATCCTTTTGATGACTTCATGAAACCCAGGGAAAAAGCAAGGTTTCAATTTTAAAGGGGTTTTAATGAAGCTGTCAGTCATTAGGCTGCAGTAGTTAAATTTACTGTAGGAATAATGCAAGTTAACCTGACAAGCATCACTTGTGTCTTTTATTTTTATCGCTGTGTGTGTTTTCACTTACTGAGAAATGGTGTTTCACACAAACATGGAGGCGCCTCAGAATGTGTGTTAGCACTCAGTGTTACCACTCAATGATAGTAAATGGATGCTGTTTTTTATGGCGTCCCTGCCTTGTCTTCACCTCTCACTTTTGTTTTTTCTTAAATTCACCTTGTCTCTTTAATCTCCCACCTCCATCCATCCATCATACACAGCTGAAGGCTGACCTGACCTGTGTACAGTTTAGCAAATCGCCTTTAAGACAGCCACTGAGGAATTGAGGATTGGTAGCATAATCAAAACATACACATCAAGACTAAATATGTCTTTCCATTAGAAAAAAAAAATGCTGACGAGCAAAAGTAGTACGAGCAGTGTCATAACAATTCATACACACAAAGAAACTAAAGAGAAGGCAATTTATGAGCCCAAGACTGCAAGTATATAGCATCAGGATCAGATACCGTTACTTACAAAATGTCATTTTTCTGACATTTTTAAAAAAACATTTATGAACATGCTTGTAATATTATTTAATTCATATCATTATATTGTAAAAAATCCTATCTTTGCTGCATATGCATGCGCACTCGCGCACGCACACACACACACACACACACACACACAGTCATAATTTTATCTCACTGCTCACGAGCTAATTTCAGGGCTTTTGACTGTATCATGATGTGTTCATCACCAGAGTTTAGGTGTCATCACATGATTTAGGTATTAATGTGGAAAGTCTCTGTATGTGGTGGAAACTGAAACTGTCAGACTTTTAAGGTGAATCAGCAGATGCGAGAAACTCGATTAATAAAAGTGTTTATGCACTCATCTGGTGCCTTTAATTGTGTGTTTGCAGGGATTAATCTTACAAGGAGCAGTAATTATTAATATTAAGAAAAGTGTTTATTATTGGAACAATATAAATGTTATTTCAGATTATTGTGTTGCTGTTGCTCTACCATTACAATTAATAATTTTTTAAAAAAGCATCATTTTGTCATTTTTAAAAAATGTTTTATTTCAAGAACTTCCAGCTTCATTGTGCCCACACTAACATATATATGTGTGTGTGTGTGTGTGTGTGTGTGTGTATATATATATGTGTGTGTGTGTGTGTGTGTAAGATATGAGACATATAACTATAAATAACCGGATGTGAGAGGACGCCGCTGATGTTTGTTCGTCACTTCTCCATCTGAACCTTAATCATGATTTTTTTTAATCGTGACATGCGTAGTGTGTTAAAGGTACGTGTAAATGTGGTGGAGGGTGGCAAGGTTGATGTGCGGCTACACTGTCATATATCCATGATCAGAAGAAAGTGACACTGTGTTAGTGAAGCCAAATCATTTTGCGCAATTAGTCTTCGTGTCATCGACTTCACTGATGCGTGCGAGCAGCCGTGGCTTTGTTGTGACAACAGCAAAGAAAAAGGCATGGTGGTGATGGTGTTGGTGGTTGGAGCGGGGGGTGGGGTGGGGCGATTGGTCACTAAGAGCCGCGATTGCATTGGCCTTCCCTGTGCTGTCATGTTTTCTTTTTCTTGTTTTTCTTCTCAGGAACTTATGAAGTGAAACATTAATTAAGATAAGTGATGTGTGCAACCCCTACATTGGAATGTGTGTGTGTGTGTGTGTGTGAGGAAGCTTGGGCATCTGATTGAGAAGTATATTAAGGAGGGCAGCAGCAGGAGGTGTGTGCACCTACAGTGGGATGGGATTAGACTAATTGGACCGTGTTGGGTATTCGTGCTCTGTAATGATGGGATTATTTCACTGAATGATGAGCAAAGGGGTTTTTACACCTCACCACTGTCTTTATGAGGCTGAGTTGGTCAGTCAGGAGATAAAACCTGACATCGAGGGCTATAGAGGGAAAAGCAAAGCAAACAGATGTCATGGGACTGAAGGCCAGAGCTACAACGCTGTTTTTCAAAGCCAGGTAGCTGCTGCCACCTTCATCTCAGGTCAGTTTACTCATCGTAATGAGAGGTTATTGTAAGGTGAAATAATGTGATCCCAGATTTCAAGGACAAGCTCAGCCTCGAGCACAGAACCAAGCGACTGACTAAATGAGGAGGAGGAGGCTCCCTACCCATCCACCCACACTTTTCCTCCTTTGCCGCCCATGGAGAGTGAGTGAGCTCCAACAAGGAACTAAGCATGCTGCTCATGTATACTAAAACCCCACTGATCATGCATTATAGATGCAGAGGGAGAGAAATGGCGTTATGCAGTCACCCCAAGGTTTTCAGTATGTACCACTAACAACAGTGCTTTGATCATAAATCTGATGATGCTTTTCTTCCATTCCTGGTGTGTAAATGATTTTTTTTTTTTTCTTCGCGCAAAGGTGGAATGAAGGGGAAGTGGAGTCATTTTTAGTGTATCAATCAGTGTGCTGTAATCCTCTCCATTGGGTTGCGGCTACGTTAAAAGCTGCTCTGAAATCTTGCCTTATTATTGCTATTCACTCCTCACTTTGAGTATTTGTTGGTCTGCTTTTACGCATCTTTTTCCTGAAAATACAAAACCTATTAACACATGAGGTAATACATCAATTCCCCTGACTTGTGTTTATTTTTGTGTGTTTGTGCGACTGAGATGAGTTTGGGTTTGAGACTATCACGTACACTTGTACTAACGCTGCTCTCATAGTACGAACCAAGCAATGAGTGGCACCCAACAGGAGAGCAAAATTACTTTGGGCAATCATGCTCTTTCTTTCGGTTTCCATGGGCAACTTGATAGTTGTACATTTTTCATGTAGCTTTGTAAGATGAGCAGAGCTACAACTATGCACATGCCTGACACTTTTTCTTGACTGCACAGTTACACAATGATAAGGTTAGAAGGTGTATTCTTTGTTTGCGCTATTATGTTGCCTTCCTAAATGTATAGAAATGTGGCCACTTATAAATAATACATTTTTGGAATTATACAAAATATGGAAATACCATAACATCAAAAAAGTCAAATCTATGGTGAAGGAATTTGGAAAAATGCTTCCCCTAAATGGAATTACATATTTTTTGTATATATATATATTTATGCTGGACTAGGGGCTCAGAGTCTTCTCCAGACTTTACCAACAATATCTAATATCCCTGGCAGAATTTTGGTAAAAAAAAAAAAAAAAAATTAACAACTGAGACATCTACAATATTTAAAATTCATGGAATAATGCAGCTGTACAAACAGCAACTACTGAATTCATAACAGTACAGAAACAAGAAAAAACTAAATACACATTTGTTGTAGTTTGATTTTAAACAATTTAAAGAAACAAAGAGGAAATTTAAGGGATAATCAACTCGTGATAAGTTAGCAAATCCAAATTTATGATACAGTGTGCGCTTTAAAAATGTGGATTGGTTTTCTTGTGTGGTCATCAAAATGTAAAAATACATTTACAAATGATGTTTTAACATCCTGTGTGTCTTTTTGGGGGGTGTTCTTTTGTTTTAACAGGCTATTTGCTGCACTTTGGTAAACTGTAACTGTGACAGCTTCAAGCCGGGGAAGCTGAAGAGGAGGCAGTGTGAAAACTGCAAGCATGGCTGGGTAGCACACGGTAAGAGCTTCAGGTTTTGTCTGTGAAATCCTTGCCTGTATTAAAATACAATAGAGCTGAATTTAAGCTAAAGAGAACAGATGCTATACTGACTCCATAAAAAGAAAATAGCACAATGTCAACTGTTTTTGGACTATTTTGTCAGGATAAAAACTGAATGAAAGGTGTTGACAGTGTACTTTGTGGGTTATCCAGAATGACCTGACACTAAACATGTTTCAGAGGGTGGACAAACTTATTGTTCTGCAAATCGCAGAAAGGTCTGATGTGTTGGCTATAAAGTCCCAACTCTCATTCCAAGTCAAGTCTTCATCTGGGAAACAATAATAACTATTTTACATGAATAAATAAATGCTGTTTAATTTGCTTTTAATGTTGTATTCATTTTAAATATACTTATGATATTTAGATCCAAAATAACAGCATTTATCATTTCTGAGTGTTTTGCCCTGTTTTTGTAGACCCAGGCATAGTCACTACATCAGAATATAATGGTCTTAGGTATCATCTGTCTGACAGCCTACACTGTCAAACGTCTTAAAAGTTTGAGGTGTTTTTTTATTTTTTTAAACCTCCACATTTTTTCAGACTTTACACCTCTAGATGTTACTGTTAAAATTCTCTTGGACTGTGACCGCCACATTCACCGACATTGCATTGTGACTGAAATCTCAAAATGTGGACAGATATAAAATAAACTAAATGCTTGGATAGATTCCAAAAATGATTTTAGCAAGAACCATAGTTTGTTTTGTGATATGGATGAACCAAGGCTTTAAGCAGATCCATCTAGCATTTTAAACCACAATTCTGTCACTATGACACCTACTGTATAATTCTGTATTGCACTTAGCTACTGTAGACAAAGAAGACCATCATTTGGAATACTCCTGTAGTACACTGTCATTTCCTATTTTCCAGTATGAACCAGAGCTAAGATCACATTTCTCTAAAAACTAGACACTTGTTGTCATAAAGAGGATTTTTATTTTGGTCATGGAAGCTTTGTTTCTTCTCTGTGATATAACTGAAAAATAAAATATGGTATGGAGTTTAGTAGATCTTTCAAGTCTTGGCCATTTACAATAATTCTACTGTGGCCATGAGCAGTTGTATAATTTTTCTACTCATTGAATGTAGATGCTGTATGAATCACTCTCATCTTTCCCATTTGCCCTTCATTCTGTTCTCCAGATAACTGTCGTGCTTTATGATATTATCCACTATTTAGTCTTTTGATCATGTTTCATATGTATTGGCCTTTGATATTTGTTGGTCTTTGTTAATTAATTAATATTAATAATGACAATATTAATGGAGTATTTGACTTTTCAAATAACTATCTTTTCATTGTTCATTATTGTACATTTATAACACATTGCTTTCACAGTCATTATTTATTCCTACAAACTCATTACTTATTCCTACACACACACACACACACACACATACACACACACACACACATATGGCAGAGTGAGAAAGTTTTAAATACACACAAACCAGGTTTTTTGTTGTTGTTTTTTTTACATAATAAGTATATATTTTGACTGTTTTTGTAATTTTTCTTACATGTATAAATTGTGTATGCTCCATTGGTCTAGCCCCCTTTTACTTGCTCACACTTTTTAAAAACTTGTGTTGTTTCTCTTTGCTCTGTCCTTTCTTTTTGTCAGGGTTAAGACCTGTATAGTTTCATTTACCCTAATCTAGTTTAATCTGACATGTGTATTCTAGCCTTGAGCAAGCTGAAGGTGCACCATATGTACCAGAGCAGCCAGGTGGAGATTGTACACTCCAATGTGGTGTTCGATATCTGCAGCCTGATGTTGTATGGCACCCAAGCCATCCCGATCCGCCTCAAGATCCTCTTGGATCGCCTTTTCTCTGTCCTCAAGCAGGAGGAGGTCATCCAGATCCTCAATGCACTTGACTGGACACTGCAGGACTACATCCGAGGATATGTGCTCCAGGTGAGCGGTGGGGAGAAATTCTCTTTTCTCATTGTTTCTGTGTGTTTAGGGCTATATATTTTTAGAAGTACCCCCAAAAGCATGTGCTTGTGAAGACCAGTACAAAACAATTTGCTGATTTCAATAAATGCTTCAGTGTTTATTTAGTTTTAAGAGCGAGATGAGAAGACCTAAACACATTCTGGTTAAAGTTTAGCCTAATGTTGGAGCTGTACAGAAAAATAGATTTGAAACTTTAAAACACTTTTATGAATGTACAGTGTGAGTAAAGTGGGAGGTGTTACATCACGTGCTAAAAGCTGATCAAATCTGTGTCTGTATTTTTGTATCTGTTGCATTAGACATGAATCAGACACCTGAAAAACATGTTCGAAACACCTTTTGTGCTGCCTGAAAGTACATGAAGGGAGAGACTGAAAGAATGTCTGAGGAAGCTGAGGCAGGGGGAGGGAGGGGGAGTCTAGAAAGCTTGGCTGAAGTCAGGCGATAACAGGGATGTGATATAGCGACCAATGCCACAAACTTTCTTGATATCCTGCTAAAGCAGCACCCTTGTTGCGGTGGTACCACCAGTTCAGGGAGGTCTCCCAGCTGCGCTGGGTAAATTTGTAAATATTATGTCTTTTGCTCTAAATTTCCTCTCAAGCCGGCGCCAAGCCAGCTGCAGCCTGGGCTGCAGGCACTATGTCAGCGCAAGATCTCACTTCGATTAGTACATCATCAAGTATTCAAGTTGGGCTGCGTTTAATTTATGTTAGCTCATCTAATGGTGAAAGTAGAGTCAGAATCCTCGACAGGCACCCAATGAATGCTCTGTGATGAAATATTAATCACAGTTACGGCATAAGGCCGCTCCTCAATTTCAAAGACCCCCAAACTCACATGTGATTACTGCTGGGCTAAGGGAGAGAGGGCCCACTTGATCAATGTGAGACGCCTTCTGATCACCCCTTCCTTACTATATGTATGTGTGGCATGTTGTGCATGTATTTATTTTTGCATGCCTTTGGGACTGTGCATATGAGTGTATGTTTCTTGTAGTATGCTTGTTCATATGTTACCACAATTTATGAAAGTGTGTGTGTGTGTGTGTGCGTGCGTGCGTGTGTGTGTGTGTGTACTTGTGTTCTCTGTCTCCTGCTGATGCAGAGCAGTCAAATCTACATGATTTAAATGAAGAGAAATGACCTGCGAGATGAAACACTGTGTGTCTTTGTAATGAGGGTTCTCAGGGAACTGCACTGCCTGCTTGTATTAACACTCCATCTGATTCCTTTATTTAGCCGCTCTGCCAATCTGCTTTATAAGGTGTGTCATATAACCCATTCGGTGAATATGTATGAGCAACCCAACAGATACTTTTAATGCCAATGATGAAATTGCTTTGTCCTTTCCTCTTTTTTTTCACTTTTCCTATCCTCTTCAATCTATTTCATACCCTTGCCCTTTCCCCTCTCCTGTACCATGCTGCTGTTCCTTTTCTTTCTGCACTGCCTGTAGGATGTTGCAGGCAAGGTGCTGGACCGTTGGGCCATCATGACATTCGAGGAGGAAATTGCAACACTGCAACAGTTCCTGCGTTTTGGTGAGACCAAATCAATAGTAGAGCTGATGGCTCTACAAGACAAAGAAGGCCAGGCAGTGTTGGTTCCCAGCACCCGCACCAACTCAGATATCCGAACTTTCATTGAGCGCAACACCCCTCGAACTGCTGACAACCTGTCTACATCAAAAGTGGAGAAGCTAAGTGGCAACAGCATGCACCACTTTGAGAACTTCATCAACAGCATGGCTTTCATGCTGCCATTTCAGCTGCTAGGTTCTGTTCCTGCGCCATATCTGGGCTCACCGACAGGGGCTCTGCAACAGCAACACCAGCAACATCACCAGCACCAGCAGCCATGCCGTGGGTCAGTGGAGCAGCAGAGTCATAGATGTGATGATCAAGGGCGGGACAGTTTAGGGAGAGACAATCCTCTCCCTCTTTCACACCCTTTAGAGAGTACCCTGCTAGGTTCCAGCTCTGTGTCATTCACTGCTGATCTAGACCGAAGTGGAGAAAAGCCAATGGACACCCTCTCCATTAATACAAAGATCGAAGCTGAGGACTTCTCCACTAGTGATAACTACTCAGATGGACCCTCCACACCATGCACACCCTCAGTGAGCTCTGATGTAACACAGATGTCACCTGAGGGCAAGCTTCGCTCTCTTGACAGGAATGGTAGTGGCAATGGAGGGGTCTCAGGAGGTGGTGCAGGAGGAGGCTCTCTGAAGAAGGGCCGTGTATTTTGCAATGCTTGTGAGAAAACCTTCTATGACAAAGGCACTCTGAAAATCCACTACAATGCAGTGCACCTGAAGATTAAGCACAAGTGTACCATCGAGGGCTGCAACATGGTCTTCAGCTCACTGCGCAGTCGTAATCGCCATAGCGCCAACCCGAACCCACGACTACATATGCCCATGAACCGAAACAACCGGGACAAAGATCTGCGGGGGAGCTTGTCTGCTGATGAGAGTTCGCAAGGAGAGAAAAGGTCTGACTACAGCACTCCCATCTCCATCTGCTCCGCAGAAAGCCATAAATCTGTGCCCAGCTACATGGTGAGCCAAGTGGACACTGGATCAAAACTCCACACCACCTCATTCCCCAGCATGGGCCAGAGTGGTATCCTCTTTCCCAATTTAAAAACAGTACAACCAGTACTGCCTTTCTACCGAAGCCTGGTATCGCCAGCAGAGCTTGCCAACACCCCAGGGACATTACCCTCCCTTCCTCTGTTGTCCTCTTCTGTACCTGTCAAACCCATCTCAGCCCCTGAGCCCTGCATGACAGACCCTATACCAAAGAAAAAGTCTCGCAAATCAAGTATGCCAATAAAGATAGAGAAGGAGATGGTAGAGCAAGATGAGCAGATGGATAAGGAAAATGGCTCTGAAGACGATGCTCCGTTCCATGGCAGGGATGAGTGTGACAGTAGCCAAGCAGAAAGGCATATGTACATCAGGCAAGCTGGGGAGGAGAAAGAGTCAAGAGAGACTTGCACTGGCAAAGAGAAAGAAAGGGATGGTACAAAGCATCGGTTGGACCAAACCTTAGACAGAGAAATGACAGAGAGGGAGGACAAAGATGACGGGTCAAGACAAACTGAAACAGGTGTCATCACCTGTGCATCATCTCACTTCGACAACAGGCTGATGGAGAACCACTGTGACAACAAGCTATTCTGTCAGGAACCCAATGCAGAAAGGGAGGAGAGGGAGCATGCACACTTACTGCATGCAGCTGACAAGATTCCAGAACTCAAATGGGATGACGGTGAGCGCAGGCTGACTAATGGGGGTGTTATCCAACTAGAGAAGGACGGATCTGATGGATGTGCAGATGACTATGCGGACTCAGGGTTGTCTCACCTTGACCCCAATGCTGACCTGCCACACCACTGTGAGATCTGCAGTAAGACCTTTAAAAATCCTTACAGTGTCAAGATGCACTACCAAAATGTCCATTTGAAAGAGATGTACATGTGCACAGTGGATGGCTGCAACGCTGCCTTCCCCTCACGCAGGAGCCGAGACAGGTGAGAGACAATCATATTTTGCTCATGTTTTGACACAAATTATTTTCTTTATGCTCTAGCACAAGTTATTAGTATTGCTGACAGACTTAAGGAAGTTCACTGTTTACTGATTAGGGTTAGGGTTAGGGTACATATCCCAACTCGAAGGTATTGCTGTTGAGCACATTCAGCTGGCAATTAACTAAGGGATTTACAGCAGACATCCTCTTTTGAAACTCAAACAATACTTTCCATATTCATGTAGCTGCAAGAAAATTGCATTTTCTCATGTCTGCAAGGGATTTGTGCAGAGTCTGTGCTGAAAATAAAGACGGTACACACATACAACATGAGCAATCTGAAAGTGTCAACAGTATATCTGACCAACTGTAACACATACAAAGACATACAGATGTAGACTGTTTAAAGGAAAGCCCTTATCGAAGGATTGGATTTGATATTAATGACTTGTCAGTGGATCCTTTGTCTTTGCCAGATCTTTTCGCCTGCTCTGTTAGCAATAAATGTTGTGGAAAATAGTGGAATGAAGCTGACAGAATGAAGTAGAGTAGGAGAGATTACTGCACTTTTCTGTTACTCTGACATTTAAAGATGAACAGAACATTAGAAGTTAAACTTAGCAATGAAAATTTACCTTTTTGTGGTGCTTTAAGGTATTTATGTATTTGTTTATTTGCAGACACAGTGCAAATTTGAATCTGCACCACAAGCTGCTGACCAAAGATTCATTCAGCCCAGCTAACCACGTCTACTCGCCCCATTGTAGAGACAGAGACTCTGTTGGCATGGACTACTGCCAAGACCAGCGAGACAGAGATCTTCCTCATCGAGACCAAACCAGCCAGACCTCTGTCATCTTTCGAGGACGCAACCGTATGGGCCTGGTCTTCCCTATGAGCAAAATGTCTACTACACCAGACAGTCCCAATGCATCTCCCTTAAGAGAGATGGAGGGATTAGGAGGAGGAGATGGCTGCAGAGGTGGGGAGGATGGGGCAGTCCTGGACCTGAGCACCTCCTCCTCCGCCCCAGCTCGCGGTAACGGCAGCGCTCAATCTTCCTGGGACTCAGATGGAGCTGGCAGTGAGGAAGGGGACGGGGCTGGAGAGGATGGGGAAGTGCTCCCCATGGAGGACAGTGATGAAAGCTGTGACGGGATTGGCCTGGGGAGGGCTGGAGGTGAGGAGTTGGCACTTGGAGGAGAGCGGACCCTTGGCAGTGGTGGGGGAGGACAAGGTGGGCTTCAAGGAGGTGGGGGTGGCTCTCCAATAACATGCCATGTCTGCCAAAAGGTTTACAGCAACAAGGGCACATTCAGAGCCCATTACAAGACTGTCCATCTGCGACTGCTTCACAAGTGTAAAGTCCCTGGCTGTGATACATCCTTTTCCTCTGTACGAAGCAGAAACAGACACAGCCAGAACCCAAATCTCCACAGGAACCTAGCTGTTAGCTCAGGTGCCATCATGGACCAGGAGTAGGATTTTGATCTCAAATGCCAATGTGACTGATTTATTTTATTGTAATCATCTTTTGATTGTTGTTTTTCTTTTTGGGGTACCTAAAGAAGGCTCACCAATTAGCGCTTTTAAAATTCCATACCATGGTCCAATCTGTTGTTATATTTCAGAAAAAAAGAGACAAAAAAAAAAAAAAAAAGCACAGTCAGGAATTCATTTGTTGTGTCAAATGCAACTTGCTTTTGGAAAAAGTGCTGGGGTTTTTTTTGCAATGCAAAATTGAGGAGCCATTACATGTGTCTGTCAGTGTTTACAAATTAATAACATAAGTAACACCAAAACATACCGATCAGTCAAATATAATAATAAAAATAGTTTCAGCAGTCAGAGTCTTTTGTATGCAGTACTGATTTTTTGTATCGGTTTGCCTTTCTAGCCCAATTTAAACCAGAAAATGTTCATTTATATAGACAGATTTTTCCTATGTGTTGTCTAAGTGAGAGTTAAATCATTCAACTGTATCATGCAAGATGTTTTTTTTTTCCTAGTGTTTTTGTTGTCAGATGTTCATATCTTCCCTGTGAAGCTGTTCATAATGTATTGATCAAGAGCAGTAGTGAAGTAACTTACATGTGTCATTTCATTCATTTGAACAATGGTCTCCAAAAAGAGTCCCTGTAGAAAAAAAACTATAATGTTGTAAGCTTGACCAATAAGTTATTGTATGGTGTTATATAATCTGTTTTACTGTTCTATTTGTTGCATACTGCTAATGTTGACCAAAGATTATTCTCAGTTCACAGGCGTGTATAGAAATCTCTTCATATTGTGTGAGGGGTATGCAGTATTAAGGGACTTGCCAACAGCAGTATTCATGCATGGGCGTTGTCCTAACATGACAAAAATTTTAAATATATAAATTTAAAAAATGTTGACTGAAGGGGTGAAAAATGTTTTGATTGTGGTGATGTTTTTGTAAAGAAATTTGTTGATGAGACTAGACTTGATTAAGGCATTACTCTTGTATTGTTTATGTGGTTTCTTGTAGTAACCTGACTGACTGGACAAACAGCAGAAAGATGCTGTGTCTGGAGGCTAGAAGCATGTGCTGTGAATGAGTCAAACACTGAAAAAATAATCATGAAACAAAGCAGTTTATAATAGGGGCCCTAAATGTGAGCACACCCTAAAAAAATAAAAAAACAGGTGAACAAAATGTTTATCGGACTGTATATTTTGTGAATAGAGTAATTTGTTATCTGAAAGAAACCAAAAAATATACTGTATCAAAAAAGATAATTTCATCACTAACATTACATTTTTAATGAATGGCTAAGAACACTGTGTTGTACATTTCTGATTATTTCACCATGGTTTACTGTTCTGGTTTTACTCCTGTATTCTGCATATTTTTTCATTCTGTATTTAAATGGAGTGGGATTTAAAAGCCCATTTGTTTGTTGTTTGAATTTTTATTTTTTTTTAAATGAGCAACAACCAACACTTATTCATAGGTGTTCATGTTTCTTTTGAATTAATGTTACAATATTCATTCCAATTAAATAAAAAGCCATATGTTTGCAAAAACGCATTCTATTTCTCAATCCTTATATACACACATATATAGCTATCTAGCTACAGTCGTCCTCAAATGTATTCATATCCTCCTATTAAAGAAGGAAATAAACAGCTGTCGCTGAAATAAGTTGAAATTGACAAAAGTAATAATAAATAAAAATTTAGTGAAAATCATGTCATTGCTTTTGAATTGTGGTTTAACAGAAATATAAACAAACAAACAAAAACAAGCAAACAAGCATGATGGGACCCATAAAATGATATTTTGTTGAACAATCACTGCAATCAAGTGTTTTCTGTAACTCTCAATCAGACACCTGTTGACAGGTATTTTGATTTTGTCCCACTGCTCATCAGCAAAGTGCTCTAATTTGTCCAGGACAGTTTTTATTATTATTATTATTATTATTATTATTATTATTATTATTATTAT